TAGAAAACAGACATCATCCCGTCATGTCGCTTGCGGAATATGCAAAAAAGACCACCGTCTAGTGACTTGCGCTACGTACTCGGCATACAATATAAGCAAAAAATACGAAGCAGTAATTAAACATCACTACTGCGTTAATTGCTTAGCCAGGTCGCACAARACAGAAGGATGCACAAGCAAAAATCGATGTTCCACTTGTCATGGGAAACATCATTCATCCCTACACGGACATCCGAGGCTATACCCGGCCAACGATGCAAATRYTGTTGAGAAACATCCACTTGCGATAGAGACCCGATTACCATMYTTACTGGCTAAGCAGACCCTATTACCCACACTGAAGATCCGTTTAAGATGCGATGGCGAATGGTATAAAGTTCGAGCCATTTTGAACCCTACCCTAAAAAYTASAAATATAGCGGCCGAACTCGTTAAAAAATTAAAACTGCCAATTACATACCTCAACACTTATCGTATTTGTAGCATCAAAATTAGCTCAAATAATGATACAAAGTTTTGTTTGGAATGTAACACAGTTATAACACATAAGTTACCCAAAAAACCATATAAGCGAGACTTAAGTGACGATGTGCAAATGCGCTTCGAACACTTAGTTCCCGCTGACCCTCAATTCCATACCAACAAAGAGCTAATGTTGGAGATTGGAGCGGATATCTACCCACAAATTATTAGAAGTGGAYTCTTCAAACCCGACAATGGTACAGTGGTAGCGCAGAATACAGCATTTGGCTGGACCCTTACTGGCACCATCTAACCCTAAGTATACTTCTGATAATTACTCCATTTCATTTCAAAACTTTCAATATATGTATGTTACCCTACTAATACTCAATTATTTCGCAGATTCTGCAAGGTGGCCGGGATGTTTAATCCAAACAAATACCCCTCTGCATTACTCCCACAAATTGGATAAAGTAATAGAGGCGTAATGCAGAGGGATATCAACCGCCCCAACTTCACACATAAAAACAGAAGAAGAAACAAAGAAGAAAACTTTTCCCGCGCTTTTTACATAAAAAGGATTATTAGCCCGCCAACACCCGAGTGAACAACACAGCAAAACGCACAAGTGCCCAACAGAGGAGACATATGCACCAGCGAACATAATAGCAATCAAGTACAAGTGAACACGGAGAATAAAACAAAGTGAACAATTATTATATAAATTTAATAATACAAACAAAAGTAAATACAACCGTGAGACATTCAACAAGTGAAACATCAGTGACCACGTTAAAACGTTTTTAAACAAGAAATTCACACAACATTAAACAGCGATACTCCATAGCTTTTCGAACAACAACAGCAACAGAGGATAAAGGAATCTGCACCYACAACAGGTTACAACACATGAAATTATTAACATAGAAATACATACTATATCTATAAATGAATACAATTAACTCATATTGGTAACACTCACACCCACCCCATATATTTATATCTACAATATAATATTAAATCCGAAATTTATAACGTTTGAACTTAAACTAACTTTCCTTTAATTAAACGCAATCGGCCCCATACGTCGACATACCCCGACACCTATGGGCTTAGAACAATGGACTAGGTATTTACCCTACCAAAACAGAATTGATGCTATTCACAAGCAGAACCAAAACCCCGACTTTCAACTTCCAGTAATGAACGGTACAGCACTTTCTCTATCCCCCACAGTTAAATCCTTGGAGATTAACACCATTATAAAAAACAAAACCTGAAAAAAAAAAAATAATAATAAAGTATATGTATATGGCCTACTGCAAGAGAATCGTCAGCAAGAGTTGGGGCCTTAAACCTAGTATAATCATGTGGATACATACGGCTGTCATAAAATCTATACTTACATATGGAGCTCTGGTATGGTGGGCAGCGCTAAAGAAACGATACAACATTAGGAAAATAAATGGAATACAAAGAGCAGCATGTGCGGGTGTAATCCAGTCATGTCCGACTGACGCGATCAATGTGATCCTGCATAAACTACTCAATAGGGGAGGATGATACCATCTCAGGCGGGTCCAAAATGGACTGCAGAGTAGGCACTGGAGTATTTTCCGAAGACCTGGGCATTTATTTCTCTATCCGTCTAYCGAACTCGGCTAGCATCTTCCAAGCGCACTACGCATAGAAAACGTCCGTGAAGCTCTATTAGAAAACCACAAGAGGATACGTAAAGCAGCAATATTTAAAGACAGCCAAGTGGCGCTAATGGCTTTGTCTTCGCCCATGACAAATTCCAGTGTAATCCACAATTGCAATAAAGCACTGATCTCAATATAAGACGAGGTCTCCCTAGACTTGATCTGGGTACTCGGCCGAGTTGGCAAAGGTAGGAGCTTTCCTTAGGGAATCCGAGGCACAGCTAATACCGAGCCCGCCAAGGGATTTCGTTCGTAGATGATTCCATAATTTAAAACTTTACACTTTTTTGTTACTTCAACACAATAACTTCACTTTATCTGCTTCTTCTTTATTGGAGTAGACACCGCTTCTCCTTTCAGCTACTTGGCGCCAATTGGATATTCTTAGCGAAGCCAGGTCGTTCTCCACCTGGTCTTTCCAACAGAGTGGAGGTCTTCCTCTTCCTCTACTTCAACTGGCGGGTACAGCGTCAAATACTTTCAGAGCTAGAGTGTTTTCGTCCATTCGGACAAATGACCCAGCCAGCGTAGCCGCTGCCTTTTAATTCGCTGAACTATGTCCATGTCGTCATATATCTCATACAGCTCATCGTTCCACAGAATGCGATATTCGCCGTGGCCAACGCGCAAAGGACCATATATCTTTCGCAGAACTTTTCTCTCGAAAACTCTCAACGTCGACACCTCAGTTGTTATCATCGTCCAAGCCTCTACACCATATAGCAAGACGGGAATTATGAGTGCCTTATAGAGTTTGGGGTTTGTTCCTCGAGAGAGGACTTTGCTCTCAATTGTCTACTCAGTCCGAAGTAGCACCTGTTGGCAAGAGTTATCCTGCGTTGGATTTCCAGGCTGGAGCCGCCTTGTATGAAACCTCTTATGGTATCGAACTGCTCAGATAAGTTTTGCGGGGATACCAAATTCAGACTTCTTGGCATAAAGGCGGCTCCTTTTCGTGCTGTCGAAAGCAGTTTTGAAATCCACGAAGAGGTGGTGTGTGTCGATTCTCCTTTCACGGGTCTTTTCCAAGATTTGGCGCATGGTGAATATCTGGTCGGTTATTGATTTGCTAGGTCTAAAGCCGCACTGATAAGGTCCAAGCAGTTTGTTGACGATGGACTTTAATATTTCACACAATACGCTCGATAGAACCTTATACGAGATGTGGAGGAGGCTTATCAAACGGTAGTCGGCGCAGATTGCGGAGTTTCCTTTTTTGTGGATTGGGCATAGCACACTTAAAATCCAATCGTTAGGCATGACCGACCATATTTTACAAAGAATCTGATTCATGCTCCTTATCAGTTCTTCGCCAAGAGTATGCTCCGGCCTTCAAACCTTCAACAACCCAAATGCATAATAGCTTCGTGGACTTGATTAGTCACTGCCCATCTAAATGCTCTATGGAGGGCAAATATTTGGTTTTACCGTTTCTTTGTATTTTTTTATATAAAACACAAGTCATAGGGTTTTATCTAGTATATTTTCTTAAAATTAATATTTTTAGCTTAATTGATAGCTTGTCTACCAGTTATCAGTTACCTCAGTCAACTCAGCCCATCTTTTAACTATATTTTTCCATACTCCTACATTCTTTAATTACATAATTCCTAGATAAAATTTCTACGTGTGCCATTTATAACCTTTGGTTATGCCTTTATCAACTGCTGGGCATCACAATCCGAAAGCTAGCAAATAAATTAACTCATACTACCACATATACACGCGCACACCATATAATTGTCTGACGCACATTTAAGGAGTAGGAAGGGCTCTTGATGCAGTATTATTACTGTTCCACTTCCCTTCACTATCTATTTGCGCATTACGATTACTTCTTTTTTCGAGTTTTTACTTTGTATTTCGCTTTATATTTTTAATCCTATACTAGATTAGGATTAACCTTCAAATACTGGTATATCAATTTCGAAATTACCAACTAACCACTTTTACTAACGTGGACAGGTCTTGGTATCTGCATGGACTGCATTATGTCCATTAGATTGCTGTACTGTGCTTCTAGCGCTGCGAAAAAGTACCTAACAGGAACCGTTTCCGCCTCTTTTCTCTCTATTCGCAGAATACGATCAGACCTCATTCATTAACAGTTTCTCTATTCCTGCTACGACGTTTAAGAGGGATATACACATGCATACTTGTATGCATACCGTGTCGCAAGTCAGTTCACTATACACTTGTACGAGATGTTGTTCTGACATCATTTCGTTGTAGTCGTTGAAGTGAACGGGCATGGTCTCAGAAGAGGAGCGCTACTTGTAATTTCGTTGTGAAAATGCCAGCTTACTTATTCCTATTGTTGTCACTTCGCTTTCTCGAAGGAAGTCTAGGTGGTGAAATTATTAAAGCGTTGGCTCATATGTATCCTCTCCACCGGCACCAGCACAAGCACCAGACTTTTCAGATTTTTTCATTTTGCAGTCTTAGCTATAGGAATTTCGCATGGGGGGGAGTCTGTCTTAGATGCTTCGAAAAATCGATTTTTTGAGGATTTTTTTTGGGAGAGAAAGGAGAAAGGGAGTTTATAGATATGTATATATTTAAACATCATCCGAAAATTTTTTGGATACGAAATCTGAAAGGTGAATTTTTAATTTCACTATGTTTCGCATGAAACAATGTCAAATTTACAAACATACATGCATGCACACAATGTTAGATACATAAATATGTGATTATGTGCGACCGCTTCGTATTTTCAGATGTCATCAAATCTTTTAATTTACAAAGAAAATAAATAAATATATTTATAGGTTGCGCAAAAATAAAAAACTTTGATTCTGCTTGTGGATTATTTTTATTTGGTATTTTAAATTTTTTACATCAAATCGAGAATATGATATCATATAAATGCCCGCCGTCACAATTGATTGTCATTTGAGCCCTTTTTATGACATTAACACGTCACATTATTGACGGATATTGTCTTTAGGAGCTACAAGTGTCTGAGGCTTCTTGACATAAACCCGAGACTTCAAAAAGAGCCACAAAAAGAAGTCTGGAGCCGTCAAATCAGGCGATCTTGCTGACCAGTGCAAATCGGCAAAACGGGAAACGCATCCTTCAGCATATCGGTTGTGGCACGTGCAGTGTGTGCCGTTGCACCGTCCTGTGGAAACCACATGTTTTCCAATCTCAATTCATCAAGTTGCGACAAAAAGAATTCTTTGATCATTGCTCTGTAGAGCTCACCACTCACAGTAACCGTTTGGCACCCGAAGTCTTCGAAGAAAAAAGGTCCAATGACTTCTCCAGCGGAAACAGCACACCATACAGTGACTTTGAGCGAGTGTAATGGCTCTTCGTTGATTACATGTGGATTTTCAGTACTCCAGAAGCGTAMATTTTGCTTATTTACGTACCCGCTAAGATGGAAATGGACTTCATCACTCATGCTTATTTTTAATGAAAAATCGTCTTCTCTTGGTGGGGATTAAAGATGGCTTGAGCGTATGTTAGAAGCGATTCGCGGTCAGCAGCTAACATCTGATCTTCAAATCTTGTTCCAAAATTCGCTGTAAACACCGTCGACTGATACCCATTTGCGTGGCACGTCGTCTGGTCGATGCCGACGGCGCTTCCATGACATTCTCGGCAACTGCAACAATATTTTCTGCAGAAAGGCTACTCCGGGTCTGCCACGCCTGGCAGCATCTCATGTTGTATCAGTCTCTTCGTGGCAAACGGATAAACGTTTTTCCTTTYCTTTTTTAATCATCTTACCTTTCGCTGGTTTAAATTATGGCAGAAACCACAAAAAACTTTATTAAGATATATGTATGTATGTATACGAGTATAAAAATGTTGATGTTACTGTATAAACTGTCCTGAGGGTGGACGAGTTAAAAAAAGAGTACGTTTTGAATATATTTACTAGTTTAATAAAAGATAAGGAAATTTATATTTTAAATATGTATCTTTACCAGGCCAGCAGATTCTGATCAAAAGAAGAGATGGTTGAAATCGGTGTAACCGCAGTAGCGTTGTTGATTCTACTTTCTACGTCAATGATTACCGTAAGAGTTAAGAGTTGTTAAACTGATCGGTCCATAAGATTTTGGTAAGAAGTTGTTTTCCTTTAACGATTTCAATTTGGAAGATAATTATGATCTCCTGCCATCTACTTAACTTATACCTAAACGGACATAATCCCTCTTCAGGAGAGCGGAAAAAATATGATTCGTACCTCCTAATTTAAAACTTTTGAAACTACCATTTCTTTAGAAAGCACGCGTCATCCTGGATGAGTAATATAACAGATTAATCATGTTTCGCGTCCAATTGGAATCATTTTGCTTACAGTTGCCTGCAGTAGCTCCTTCACATTCGCCAAGTGTGGAGTGAAACACATCTACTCTCATTCATGCCGACTAGTGAGGCATTTCTGTCCAAAAAGTAATTCCGCCAAAAAGTGATTTTCGGATAGCCAAGCTCCTCCAGCCGTTGCACCACTCGATCCCAGATTAGGTAATCAAACGCCCCCTTGAAATCAGCAAAAATTCCAAGGACATATTTGTTGACATTCTCTTACGAAACTCTAAATATAAAATCATGTATACTTTATACTGCGTCCCATACTGCCTCTCCGACCACATACCTAGCGTTAGCTCCTGAAGCCGTTCCACCATGACTCTTTCCAGCACTTTTCCAAGAACTGGAATTAAACTGATTGACTTTTTCACTCATGTGGAAAGTATCCCTTAAAGGCGCACTTATTATAAATGGCCTCCAGGTATTGTGGAATGAACACAAGCTTTTACACATATCTGCACCAGGGCACCGTTCAAACCTAACTATGCCAAAGGCGTACCCCAACTCCCTATGAGGGAGGGACATTTATCTTTTGTGTTTGAGACACAACGATAACAGTCACCGAAGCGAAAAGAGGTGACATCCTCCCTCTTACGACCCTGGCAGATCCTATAGAACTAACCTCAGGAGTCGTTCCTATTCTCTCCTACAAAACTCTTCCAGACCTCTAATCTTTTCGGTTCCAGTCGATAACATCGCCGCAATGGACTCTTATACCTCAAGGGTGGGGATTCAGCAGTAACCATAATTTTAATCATATTATGATCACTCAATCCCCACCCTCCCTTCATCTTCCATCTAACACAGAAAGCCTTATTTGCTGCCTGATTGATAAGTGTCACAGTAGAGGCTCTTAAATAAATAAATATCATCGGCGTACTTCAGCTGTTGTACACTCTTGTAGAAGTCTCTACTCAGCTTTATAGCTCGAATTATTGTCCAGCAGTAGATTGAAGAAGTCGGACGAGTGGGAGTCACCTTGTCTGAAACTTCGTTTAGTATCGATAACCCTACCCTGATGGAAATTTCGGTATGGCTCAACGTCAGTTTACACAGCCGTATTCGTTTTGCGGGGATAGGAAATTCAGACATAGTGACATAAAGCTAGCTCCTTATTGTGCTGTCAAAAACAGCTTTGTAGTCTGCGAAGAAGTGGTGTGTTGATCATCTTTTCACGAGCCTTTGGTGGTGGATATCTGGTCAGTTGTTGATTTTCCAGGCCTAAAGCCACACTGATAAGGTTCAATCAGTTTATTGACGGTGGGCTTTAATCTTTCACACAATACGTTCAATAGAACCTTAGATGCGATGTTTAGGATGCTTATTTGCACGGATTGTCGGATTTATCTTTCTGTGGATTGAGTAGAGCACACTTAAAATCCAATCGTCGAGCATGCTTATCARTTCTTCGCCGCCGTATTTGAATAGCTCAGCCGGCAATCCATCGGAGCCTACTGCCTTGGTGTTCTTTAGACGAGTAATTTCTACTCGAATTTCTTCATATTCGGGCAATGGAACGTCTTCTTCATCGTCATCGATTGCGAAATTGGTTTCATGTTTTCACTACCATTCAGCATTCTGGAAAGTGTTCCCTCCATAACTTCAGTTCTGGGCGTCAGTGGTAGATCACCCCTGGAAGTTCTACCAAAGTATGCTTCGGTCTTCAGATCTTCTGTTAGTTGCCTACATCTTTTCGTAGAATTTTTTCAATACCTCTATCTGCCAGCTTGTCAAGTTCTTCGGACTCACGCATTTCGGCCTCTCTTTGTTTCTGCAAATGCGTCTCGTTTTGCTCTTCAACTTTCGGCATTTATCCCATCCCGCACGTATTGTGGTCGATTGTAACGTTGCGAGGAAGATAGTCTGTTTTGTCTCCACTGCGAACCATAATTCGGACCCCTTCCTCAATCCATAGAATCCTAACCCTCAGGAGGGGATGTTTCGGTTTCTCACTTTAGCTCGCCTTCAAACGGAGTTTTTCTTGGCTGCCCAGATGATACGTGGTCTAAGTCCATAAGTCGTGAGCTAAATTGTTTCTGTCCACTCCCATCTGAATGACTCTCAGAGAACTTTCCTTACTTGGGAAAATAATTAAAAAACAAGAAAAAACGTTAACTTCAGTTGCACCGAAGCTAAATACCCTTCATAGGTGCATTTCTGTTAGTAATTATGTGTTCAGTTTGTATGGAAGCTATATGCTATAGTAATCCGATCTGAAAATTTTTTTCGGAGATTATTTCGTGAAGATACCACGTCAAATGTGAAAGTTTTCCATACTTGAACTTGATTCCGATTGTTCAGTTTATATGGCAGCTATATGTTATAGTTAACCGATCTGAATAATTTCTTCCGATATTACATTATTTTTATGAAAAATAACTCTTAGCAAATTTCGTGAAGATATATCGTCAAATGAGGAAGTTTCTCATGCAA